GTTGATCCACCAACAGTTAACTTGGATGCTGGTAATGTTGAGACTCCTCTGCCAGACCCACCCATCAGCGAGGATCCACCCACCCTGACTGAAGTCAAGGGGGCGATCTCCAAGCTGAAGAGTGGTAAAGCAGCAGGTGTCTGTGGCATCCCAGCTGAATTGTTAAAGGCTGGTGGAGAACCTATGGCAAGGGGCTTGCATGCAGTCCTGTCTGCCATCTGGCAGACCGGTACCATTCCCCCCGACCTGCTGAGGGGTGTGGTCATCCCTCTCTGGAAGGGGAAAGGGGATCGGTGGGACTGCAGCAATCACCGAGGCATTACACTGCTCAGTGTACCAGGCAAGGTACTCGCCCACATCTTACTGAGACGTATCAGAGACCACCTCCTGAGGCACCAAAGACCGGAGCAATCTGGGTTCACTCCTGGTAAGTCCACAATAGACCGTATCCTGGCGCTTCGAGTCATTGTAGAGCGCCGTCGTGAGTTCGGACGTGGGCTGCTCGCAGCCTACATCGACCTCAAGAAGGCGTTTGATACGGTGCATCGCGAATCACTCTGGGAGATCCTGAGACTGAGAGGAATTCCAACAAGGATTGTTGGGCTAATAGCAAACCTGTATACAGGCACTGAAAGTGCTGTAAAGTGTGGTGGGGGCCTGTCGAGCTTCTTTCCTGTTAGTTCAGGCGTGAGGCAAGGCCGTGTTCTTGCACCAACACTTTTCAACACTTGCATGGATTGGATACTGGGTAGAGCTACTGTCCAAAGTCACTGTGGAGCAACTCTGGGCAATATCAAGGTTACAGACCTTGACTTTGCTGATGATGTTGCCATTCTTTCTGAATCTCTGGAAACCCTAGTGGCGGCTCTTGATGCATTTAGCAATGAAGCGAAGCCCCTGGGGCTAGAGGTCTCCTGGACCAAGACCAAGATCCAGGATTTTGGGGGCCTACTAGGAGATCCTGTGCAGTCGGTACGTGTTTGTGGTGAAAACATCGAAGTCACAAGGAGTTTTATATACCTCGGTAGTGCAGTTCATGACTCTGGGCTGTCAGACCAGGATGTCAGTAGACGGATTGGCCTGGCAGCAGGGGTCAAGAAATCTCTCGACAAGAGTATTTGGAGATGCCGGTACCTGTGCAGAAGGACCAAGCTACGAGTCTTCAAGGCCCTGATACTGCCAGTTTTACTATATGGTAGTGAAACTTGGATGCTATCTTGGAATCTCGTCCTGCCCATCAGGTTGTCTCTGTTCGAGACAACCCTGGGTGGAGGAGGCCTGTGGGACGACCGAGAAGGTCTTCCCACATATATATATATATATGCATATGCACAATACATACATATATATATATATATATAAATATATACATATATATATATACACACACACACATATGTATACACACACACACACACACACATATATATATATATTTTTTATTATTTTTTTTTAACAGCCATTCATTCCACTGCAGGACATAGGCCTCTCTCAATTCACTATTGAGAGTTTATATGGCAGTGTCACCCTTACCTGATTGGATGCCCTTCCTAATCAACCGCGTTTCGGCCGCAGCGGTGACTTCCCCTACGATACCTGCGTTTGACTTCTCAAGGCGATATGTCGTTTTTCTCGGGCTCGAGCCAGCAGTCAGAGCGCAGGCATTTTTACGACCGCCGCGACGGGGCATTGAACTCGGGCCCACAATGGTCGGAGTCCAGTGCTCTAACCACCGGGCTATCGCGGCAGTCATATATATATATATATATACATATATATATATATATATATATATATATATATATATATATATATATATATATATATATGTATATATTTACACACACACACACACATACATATGTGTGTGTGTGTGTGTGTAGCACCTGAAAGGGTGCCAGATATGAGGTTACATATCCTTTTTGTTGGGCAGCAGTAAGTTCTGGGGGCCTGCTTCACCTGCTAGCCTCTTTGTACAACCAGCAACTGGTTGCCAACCTTCGGACCGGAGATGGTACTTGATAAGATAATATATATATATATATATATATATATATATATATATATATATATATATGTATGTATGTATGTATATATAAGCATTTTTTCTTGCCTTGTTATTACAGCCGGATGTCCTTCCTGCCGCCAATACTCCTCATTCATCTGGGCTGGGGACCTGCACAGACTTTCTACTGGATTGTGGATGCCATGTCTGCAATCGAAGGGGGGGGGGGGGGGGTCCGAGGCTTTTCATGTATTTCAGCCCCGGGCGAAGCCGCAGTCATGTATATATATATATATATAGCGTTCGTTCGTGTGTGCGTGTGTAAGTATATGTGCGTGTATGCATGCGTGCATTCATGCTTGTGTGTGTGTGTGTGTGTCTGCGTATGCGTGTGCGTGTGTGTGCGCGCGTGTGTGTGTGTATGTGTGTGCGTGTGTGTATGTATATGTGCGCGCAGGCAATGAATCCACACACAGTACTCATTTCAGTCCATACATGTACCCTGAAAGAAATCTCGAAAGCCACGACTGACGCAAATGAATTTAAAGGCTCGAGCGCCGGCCCTAAACCAGCTGATCGATTCACGCTTTTCCTCCGCCGCCCAATTTGCCACGGCAGGACAAGGTCTGGGAATTCGTCTAAAAGGGCCTCGAAATGGACTTTGCTGGCTGCAGATGGCGTGCGCAACGAGTTCGCAACCTCCCACATTTTCCGCTGTGAACTATTTCGTTTTTGCTTGGTGCTGTTGAAGGCTCGTGGGTGACTGCAGTAGATATAGTTCTTTTAGATCACCCTACGTTCAAATATGATTTAGATATAGATAAGACAATAAGAATAACCTCATTGCTGATGCTGAGGCTATGATCAGTAATTATGATCATTATTAGCATAACAATTGCATAACAAGTCTGGACGTGATTAATGTCAGACTGAATAACAGAGACTCAATATCCGTTTCATGAGAGATTTCATTAACAGTATCGTCAGCGCGGTCTCGTCATAAATGCTTCCCGCCATCATTTCATCCATAATATTGTCAGGATATTGTCGAGATCCAAATCAGATTAAATTCAATATTGATACTAGTGATGTTGTGAGGGATGCTTGTGGCAGTGCCACAGGTATATTTCTCGTGAATGCCATCATTTAATATTCTTCAGTATTCTCGTGTTCGATGGAAAAGTCATTTTCCCCTCCGCGTTCTTCATTAGTTATCAATCAAACTATCTAAATCATTCTTAAACATATGGCCTTCATCTATCTGATCGAAAGTTCTAAACAGACCTCTGTATCGTAAGAAATGCAAATTGTTCGCAAGGGCCCTGACAGTGTTACTTTCAGATAGAGATAAAGATAGAGGTAGATAGATAGTTATATATATATACATATATACATATATATACATAGATATATATACATATATATATATATATATATATATATATATATATATATATATATATATATATATGTATATATATTATATATATATATATATATATATATATATATATATATATATATATATATATATATATATATATATATATATACATATATATATATATATATACACACACACACTATACTACTATTACTAGTACTATTGACTATATTACTTTTATTATATTATTGGTATCATATTTGTAGTGGTTTATGTTACTACTGGTCATTTTATTATCATTATTATTGTTATTATAATCATAATGATAAATATCATTATCATAATTATTATTATAGTCATTATTATCATTATCATTATTATTGTTATCATCACCATCATTATCGCCATCACCATCATCATCATAATCATCATTATTACCATCATCATTATCACTACTAATGTTATCTTAATCATCATTATTATTATGGTTATTATGGTCATTATCACTATCATTTCATCATTATTACCATCACCGTTATCATCATCATTAATATTATTACTGTTATCATAATCATTGTTGTTCATAATGCAATTCTACATGTGGAAGGTTATGCCTGACAATGCTTTCCGAAGCTCCATTCTCTCTCTATATTGATATGTAAATTTCTCACATGATTGTCAGTCTTAATTGCCCTCATTGTTCTGTATTTAGTTTATAAATTATGCATGCTTCGTTTTCAGTAATACTTTTCCATCTTTACTATAATTTATTCATATAAGAATTGCCTTCAAACTGACATTATTATAGTTCATAATATTGTTTTTAAACGGCTTTGCGAGATGCTTAATATGAATATAATTCAGGTAGTTCAGTTGATATCCAGTATTGATGAATAATAAAAATCTAAAGGTAATATTGTCTTCAGGAAGTAAACAAAAATACCTTTACAATAGGGCTATTATTCCTACCTGCTATTACTAGGAGAAATATTATTATTGTTATTTTTTTATAATGAGGGGTGGGGAATAAAATACAGTTTTTATTTCAAAATTTTTATAGTTTATATTCATCTTCACTAATTAAATAAAGTTTCTGCATTAATTATGCTGTTTAAATTCACAGTAAGAAATGATGAAAAAACAGTAAATGACAGAAGTGCATGCAAAGAAACCAAAACATACATACTAAGGATAAATAATAAAATGTGTAAAGCTCATATGATATATATGTATACGCACACACACACACACACACACACACATATATATATATATATGTATACATATATGTATATATATGTTTATATATATTTATTTATATGTATGTATATATGTATATATATATATATATATATATATATATATATATATATATATATATATATATATATATGTGTGTGTGTGTGTGTGTGTGTGTGTGTGTGTGTGTGTATGTATGTGTGTGTGTGTGTGTGTTGTGTGTTGTGTGTGTGTGTGTGTGTATAGATATGTATACACACACACATATATATAAATATATATATACATATATGCATACATGTACGTATATGTACACTTACACACACACACACACACACACACACACACACACACACACAGTTTATAGGTAGCTGGCGTAACACTTTGTAAGTACTATTGTGAGTTAAACACTTTCAGTAGATGTATATCTCCGGTGAATTCTCAATATAACGGATATGTAATTTATATATATTTTTTTTTAGTTTAATAATTTTGACCTCGTTTCAGTACATTTAATACAGTAACACTTTTATTAATTTTTGAAATGGGATAAATTATATCTATATCTGCTTTCACTCGGACAAAATTTCCTTTTGTTTATTTTTTTTTCTTTCATCGTGTATCATGCAATATACTGACTAATTGAAATATAAGAACAAAACTTTGAAATATCATATTGCAGAGTTTCGAAAATTATGGAATATAATACTGAAGATAAATAGTTTATAATACAGTTCTGACCCCTTTGTTGGAGGCTGCTAATGCAACACACACACACACACACACACACACACACACACACACACATACACATACACACACACACACATACATATATGGTGTGTGTGTGTGTGTGTGTGTGTGTATGTGTATGTAAACGCACATAAACACATTTCTTTGAAAAAACACGCCACCTAAAACTACTTCCACAATCAACGCCCAAGCACAAACCACACCAACCACCAAATCCAAACCAGCCAACCACACACCCAAACACGCCCTTAATCTACACCAAACGCCGGCACTCATCGCAGGACGCAGACGCCCCTGCGCTGCACCGCCTTCTTGCGACAGAAGCACTTGAGGACCGACTCCCTTCCGCGCTGGCAGGAGGCGACCCCGAGTTTCCTGGAGCAGGTTCCTCTCTTGCAGCGGCCACCTGCAGCAGGGGAACACCAGACAAAGCCGGTTAATCTAACCTGTGGAGGACGGAGGTTCTCGGAGCCAAGAGAGGGACACAGGGATACATATATAGAAGTCAAATGGGCCATTAACGTCCGTAATGAAATGGCGGGAAAAAAAGGTTATTAAATAATGTTTGTAGTGGGTTTGATATAAATTGTCAGCCTGAATGTGTTTCTCTCATTCTGTATTTTGGTGTATTGAAACCTTTGATTTATATTTTGGTATTCGTTTTCATATAACACACGACCGGCTTCTATCCAGCATATCCTGCACACCTCGCCTCTCGGATGAACAAAACAGTTTAACATTGTCTTGAGTCCTCAGCCAATTCCACCTCGGAAGGACAGACACCTTTTACTCTTCTACTCGCTGGAGGCCGCGACTTTGGCATTTAGAAAGAAATTCCAAACTACGGGATGTCTTTCCACGTGTCAAATTCACGAACACGAGCAAGTAGAATATCGAGATGGTGTCGACAGACAGTGAATTTTGTTACATATTTTTTTCTGGCATTTTTCTGCAGGCAGAGGATTACTGTTTTACCTAGCATGTTGTTATGAGGGTACTTGGAAAACCTTTCGTTTACGGACACATAAATACCCTTTTCACGTTCTTATTTATTCACACAAGTAAGGATATATGAAATACCCATCCAATCATCATTATTGTCATTATAATGATGATAATGATTATCATTATCATTGTTATTGTTACAATAATTACAACAACAACAATAATCATAATAATGATAATAATAATAATAATAATAATAATAATAATCATAATAATAATGATCATAATAATAATAATGATAATAATGATAATAATAATAATAATAATAATCATAATAATAATAATGATCATAATAATAATAATGATAATAATGATCATTATTATCATCTTCATCATAATCATCATCATCATCATCATCATCATCATCGACAGCATCATCATTTTTATTATTGTTATCATTATCATTATGTTATTATTATAATATTATTATTACAACTATTGACATTATCATAAAAATGATAGTGATAATTATCATTACTGTCATTATTGTTATTATTATTATTATTATTATTATTATTATTACTACTATTATTAATATCCTTGTTATTATTATTATTATTATTATTATTATTATTTTTATAATTATCATCATTATCATTATTATCATTATCATTATTATTACTATTATTATTTATGTTTTGTATATTATCATTGTTATTATTATTATCATTATTATCATTATTATTATTATTATTATTATTATCATTATTATTATTATTATTATTATTATTATTGTTATTATTATCATCATCATTATGATTATTATTGTTATTATTATTATTATCATCAACATTATTATCATTACCAATATTATAGTTATCAGTACTATTATTATTATTATTATTACTATCATCATCTTTATCCTTATCATTATTACTGTTATTGTTATTACTACTACTATTATTATCATTATTATTATTATTATTATTATTATTATTATTATTGTTATCGTTATTATTATTATTATTATTATTATTATTATTATTATTGTTATTATTGATATTGTTATTATTATTATCATTACTACTACTATTATTAATATCCTCAATATGATTTTTATCATCACTATTATTATCATTATCATTATTGTTATTATTATTATTATTATATTTATCATTATCATTATTATTATTATTATTATTATTATTGTTATTATTATTATTGTTATTATTATTATTATTAATATTATTATTATCATTATTATCATTATTATTATTATCATTATCATTATAGTGATAATAGTGATAATAATAATAATGATAATTATTATTATCATTTTCGTTGTTGTTATCATTACCATTTATATTATTATTATTTCTATGATCATCATCATCATTTTTATTACTATTATTAATACTTTTATTGTTAGCATCATTATTATCATTAATATTAGTATCACTGTCATTATCATTATTATTATCATTGTTGTTGTTATTGTTGGCATTATTATTATTATTATTATTATTATTTTATTATCATTGTTATTTACTATTATTGCTATCATCAACATCACAATCATCATTAGCATCATAATTATTATTGTGTTTATCATCATTATCATTATAATTGTAATCATTATTCTTATTATCATCAATAACAATATTATTATCATCAACACTCTTATATTACCATCATACTACGGCTTTTGTTACTCCATCTGCTTATATCACGATTGTCATCATAGAAAAATATAAGTGCGTATATCTTTTTCGTAAGATTGATTATAATTCCTAATATTCTGATTTCTTAAGTAATTATAGTATGGTTTTATCATCGTGCTTTTAATTCAATTCCAACGTAGATTCAACAAGTTTTTTATAATCTAATTTATTTGAACAGCTAATGATTCCATATATAAAAGGGAGACAATAGTCTTCACGAGTGATGCCGGTCATAGGGAAAGTAAGCATCAACGTTATCAAATAGCATAAAATCTAAAATAATTTAAGAAAATGTGTTCTACTCTCTGTCTAGGTCTTACATTGTGCTCGTAGGCTTAGAGAAAGCTTATGACAGGGTGCCTAGAGAAGATTATGGTACTGGATGACAAAGTCGGGAGTGGCAGGGAAGTACGTTAAGGTATTAAAGGATATGTATGAAGATAGTATAACAGTAGTAAGGTGTGTAGCGGGAACGACAGACTACTTTAGAGTGAGAGCTGAATTGAATCAAGGATCGGCTCTTTTCTCTTTGCAGAGTCATAGGCTAACAGATAAGATACAACATGGTCCATAATATTTGTAGATGGCATGGTGATTTGTTGTGAGCCTCGGGAAGAAGCTGAGACGGAGCTGGAGAGATGGAGGGATGCATTGAAAACAAGGGACTTGAGAGTAAGCAGGGCCAAGACTGAGTACCTGTAGGCTCCAAGGGCTGGAGACAACAATGGTTAATGAGTTCAGGTAATTGGGATCTACAGTACAGAGCAATGGATGTTATGTAAGGGATATTATGAAGAGTATCCAGGCTAGATGGAACGGAAAGAGAAAGATGGCGAGACTGAATTGTAACAAAAGGATTATCGCAAGAATAAACTATAGAGTCTGTAAGGCAGTAGCGATGCCAATCATGCCATTTACTGCATGGAGACAGTACAGCTAACTAAGATACAGGAAACGGAGATAGAAGTTCCCGACCTAAAGATGCTGCGTTTAAATTTGAAACTAGTGAGACTGGACAAGAACAAGAAAGTTCATTAGAGGGAAATGCATATATACAGCTTCAGTGACAAGGCCAGAGATGCGAGGCCGAGGTGGTTCGGGCATGTCAAAGGGAGGGACGATGGGTATGAGGGGAAGGATGCTCGAAATGGACGTGCCTGGAAGGAGAGAGAGACGTGAAGGCAACGAGAGTATCGGAAGAAAGGTCACGAGGCCGAGCGCTGGAGAATGAAGATCCGCTTTCCCGAACTCTGACGGGAGCAGCGGACGAAAGAAGAATACTCACTGTCTCCTACTCAGTCACTCTGGTTCTCTCTCTCATCCTCTCGCTCTTTCTCTCCTCTCCCCCCCCCCCCTCTCTCTCTGTCTCTCATCCTTCCCCCCCCCCCCCCCCCTCTCTCTCTCTCTCTCTCTCTCTCTCTCTCTCTCTCTCTCTCTCTCTCTCTCTCTCTCATCCTTTCTCTCTCTCTCTCTCTCTCTCTCTCTCTCTCTCTCTCTCTCTCTCTCTCTCTCTCTCTCTCTCGCTCTCTCTCGCTCTCTCTCGC